CAGGACCAGACCTGGATTTCTACACTGATTCTATCACCCACACAGGCTGGGTGGCTTTGGGATAGTCAACTGACCTCTCTGCTCCCCCGGCATAGAATGAGCATAACAATCTTTGGAGGGGACTCTGGTGGTGGTGTGAAATGATCACGTGATGGGTTGCTAACTGAGAGACTGCTGGTCTGAGTTCAGCCAGCTGTATCTTGGAAGAAAGGCCTGGGGTGGGGGAGGGGGTCCATGCTTGGGAGGGGGGCTCGACTTCTGAAACACTGGCCACTAAGAGCGTTACAGAGCTCAGTTCTGCTTTGGCAGACACAAAGATACAAAGAAATGGAAGTTACCAACCCAAAGTCCTCTATTCTCTGGTGGTTCAAATCCACCAGCAGCTCTGTGGGAGGGGGCTGGGCAATCTCCTCCCCTGTGATTTATAGACTCAACAGCCCAACAGCCGTTCAGCTATGAGTTGGTCTCACCTTGATGACAATGTTTTAGGTCCCCCCCCCCCCGGTTTGATGGCAACTGGAAATAAAAAAGGAAAGTTTGGAGTGCTCTTCTAGTTAAAAGAGAAAAGGCCAGATAAAGCTCTCTGGACAATACCTATCTCATGGCAAATGAGCTGGCACCATTGTTAATTAAAAGAAAGTGGAAAGGGAGGAGTGAGGTGGGGTCATTGTGGACGGTCACTGATGAGGCCTGGCTGGGACCAGGATGAGGAAACCTGGATGACAGGGTAACTCAGGGAAGGTGAACTCGGGGTCACCCAGGGAAGGTGCACTGGGCTATGTCTGAGCCAGAAGGAAGTGCTTGGGGCGATGCTCCAGGCAGGGCACGTCTCAGCCAGCTGATGGCCTCACTATGGGGGACAGGCCACATGAGCACAGCCCCCAGATTTAAGGGAGCGGACCAAGGGAGGGCCCAGAATGCATGTGAGCTGACTGGGCCTGGTTGAGGGGGCTCTGGAGTTCTCCCAGACTTGTTCTAAAGACACACTTCCCATCAGAGTGGTCAGTGTACATCCTGGGGGTGCTGCCTGCAGAAGAGGTGGGTGCAGGCCTATAGGACCATGTCTGAGCAGGAGGGCTCTGGGGTACATCTCCAGCCATGTGTGTTGAGGGGCTTGAGGCCTGACCTGGGACTTGAACCAGCATCTTGAAAAGTGGGGCTAGGGGACATCGAGAGCATTCCAGGCCTAGTGGGAGCTCTGGATTTGGAGTCAGCGATCTGCACAGTCCCTGGGGGGAGAAAACCTCCCAATACTTTTTCCAGCACAAGAGCTCTGGTGGCCTAGTGGTAAAGACCTGTGCCGCCAACCCAAAGGCTCATGGTTTGAACCCACCAGCTGCTCTGTGGGTGAAAGATAGGCACTTTCCTCCTGTGTGATTTACTGCCTCTGAAAACCTGTTGGAGGCTCAGTTATTAAGTCAGTTCTGACTTGACGGCACATAACATTTCCAGCACAGAGAAAGGCTGAAGGAGTGTTTTTGGCTTCTAGAAACTGCCGGGAGCTGGCTGGACCTTGAAGTCAAGTCAGAGCTGAAGGTGGTCAGTGAGGCACAGGAGACTGCAGAGTGTCTGCAGGGAGCTGGGAAAGTGGCAAATTCTCCACAGAGGCTGCTGAGACATCTCGGCACCCTGGTGCATGTCCATCTGGAGTTTTAGGAAGCTGTGCTTTCTACTGGAAAGAGCATGGGGCTAGGAGATCAGGAGCAACAGATGGACCAGCCATGTGTCCCTGGGCGGGGCCCCGCACAGCACAAAGGCCTGTGTCCACAGCATCCTCTCCACACTGCAGCCCTTGCTGAGAAAGCGACGGGATCCTCCTTCTTTCGCAAAGGAGGAAACCAAAATCCAGAGCAGATAAACTGTCCTCAAAAATGACATAGTTAAAATAAAACTCAGGGACAGGTTTTGAACCCAAACGGCAGCCTGACCTCAGGGATGATGCTCTTTCACCACACCCCTACATGGCCCCAAGCACGCAGCTGGGCACACAGGGCTCTGGCCTCTCTTCCCACAATGATGAAAGCCACAGGTGACACTGTTACTCTGCCATCTGACCAGGAGCCCAGGGCCCGGCTGTGTTGGTGACGTCACCTGAGCTGTCTGACATAAGCAAACAAGTGTGTGTGCGCGCGTGCGCGCGTGGCTCTGTGTCTCTGCAAACCTCCAATCTCACACCGGGCTTGCATCACCTCAGGCAGTGTTGAGAGTGTCCCATACTGGGTCAGTACTCAGCTCCAGCCTGCTTCCTGCCAGGGGAGAAGGTGACGGCAACACCAGGAGGTGTCCAGGTCATGCAGAGTGAATGTGTGGGGACATTGAGGTCACTGCCCTAGAACAAGGCTGGCGGTGGGGGTGGGGCAGGTCCACTGCAGGCAAGGAGGGGACATCTCAAAAGATGTGTCCACACTCACATTCTCTCCTCCCTTGACCCCTCAACACAGTCCTGCCTGCCTCCAGAGCTTCTCCCTCTGAAACCATGGTCCCTAGTGATGTCTTGGGTGCCCAAGCCAGGACACTGTTCTGTCCTGGTCCTTGTTCGCTTTTGTCCACATTCCCTAGTGACTCTCCCTCCCTGGTCCTGGCCTTTACCAGAGGGTTGCTGAGGACTCAAAGGGACAGTACATGTGACATGGGGGGCTGATTCAGGGTCTTATCGAGGGGTCTCTCTGATAACTATCACTCATTCTCTCAAAACTTCTGAGTCAACACCCTCCAGCTGGCATCCTGCCTCCCTGGCCACCACCCCTCAGCTTCCTCAGTGGGCTCCTCTCCTCTGTCTAGACTATTTTCCTGGAGGACTCTGTCCATCCCTGGCCTTTAGAGCCATGTGCACACTGACACTCCAGACAGCATATCCTGAGTGCTGACCTCCTTCAAAACTCCTTCAAAACTCAAACTCAGCCTACAACCAGGAGAAGATAAAATAGATGAATGGGACCTTCTAAGAATCAAATCCCTATGCACATCCAAAAACTTCTCCAACAGGGTAAAAAGGGAAGCCACAGACTGGGAAAAAGTATTTGGTAATGACATATCAGAGAAGGGACTTCTATGCAGAATTTATAAAATATTCGAGCACCACAACAAGATAAACGTAAATAATCCAGTAAATCGGCACAGGATATGAACAGACACTTCACTGAAGAAGACATTCAGATGGCTAACAAGCACATGAAGATATGTTCAAAATCCCTACCTCTAAGAGAGATGCAAGTTAAAACAACTATGAGATATCATCTCACCCCAGTCAGAATAGCAAAATTTAACAGAACAGCAAGCAACAAATGCTGGTGAGGTTGTGGAGAAACTGGAACCCTTATTCACTGTTGGGAGTGTAAAATGGTATGGCGCTTTCTCATAAAGTTGCAAAGAGAGATACCATTTGACCCAGAAATTCCACTACTGGGAATATACCCCAAAGAGACCATAACTGACATCCAAGCAGATGTCACAAGCAGATGACATCCAAGCAGACGCACACCCATGTTTATCGCGGCTTTGTTCACAAGAGCAAGGAGTTGGAAACAACCTAAGTGTCCATCAACAAACGAATGGATAGAGAAGCTGTGGTATATTCACACAATGGAATACTACACTGCATTGAAAAACAAAGAACTCATGCAATATTATTAAAAATGGGTGACCCTGGAAGACATTATGCTGAGTGAAATACCTCAGTCACAAAAGGACAAATACTACATGGTGCCATTATTGTAAAACAGGACTGATCTCAGGGTTGGGGGGAGACTGAGAAAGATGGGTTCAATAACGTATACTGCATTGAAACAGATGAGGGAGAACACTGTTTACAAGGGATATGTGATTAGGTATTTTTATCATGACAGGTGTCTAGAGCAAAGGCTGCATAGGGGAGTGGACCTGGGGGGAGGGATTGTGAAACAATGAAAGAATTTTTCTTTTACTTTCCCAAGAGGGTAGCGTACTGGGGGGAGGTTTGGAAGGGGATAAAAGTACAACAGTGAATGAATGGAAATCCAAAGTTTCTGTAAATTTTCATTGAAAGTAGTAATAAATTAAAAAAAAAACACACAAAAAACCTCAAACTCAGGGGTTGCTGCATCAATTCTGACACCTGGCCACACCCTGTATATTAGGGTACCACTGTGCTGTCCATGGCCAAGTTTTCTGATGCAGACGGCCAGCTTCTGAAGCACCTGTCAGCAGATCCAAACTCCAACCTTTCAGTGAACAGCCAAGTGCATGAATTTTTTTCACCATTCAGGGACTCCAGTTTTCAGACTCTTCTATCTAAGTACTATAAGGGACAGGTCCCCAGAGATGTCCAGCAGGTAATTAACATGGCAGAGTCCACATCACTTTGTGCCCTTCACCTCCCAGCAACAAGTTTCGTGGCTTGAACTTAGAAAATGTGTGTGGATTCAAGCCTTTCCCGTCTTCCTCACTCTGCTCTATTCTAAGTCACCAACTTTTCACCTGGGACACCGACAATCAACAGCTGAGCTTCCAGATCCCACGTCTGGGCCCTTCCAGTCCTGTCCCCTCAACAAGCACATTATTCGATCTGGTGAGGCAAGTGCCAGACACTCCCCTCCCTCCCCACCCCGATCTTGGAAATTCTTGCTGTTTAAAAATCTCTTGATTATCCTTATATCTTCCTTTTCAAGTGACACTTAGAAGCAAACATGGTTTTGAAAAGAATTCAATAAAAAATAAATGCAACCTAACGTTTCGTTCCTTCAAATAACATCGGGACATCCCTGCTATAGGCAACGCACTAGAGGAGGAATCCCCAGAGGCTGAGTTAACATCACTTGCTTCTGGGAGCTCTTTTTCTGCACATAAATGCAGCAAATAGACACCAGGCTTTAGACAGCAGGAGCTACAGGGGGTTAGAGTTCCCTGTAGCAAAGGACAGATCGTTCTGTGGGTGAGACAAGCCTTAGGGGGCTCGGAAGTGAGGTGAGTGAGGCGAGGTGAGTTTCACTGGACGGACTCGGAACGGAGCAGGTGTTGCTTACCTCCCTGAGGCAGGTGTAGATGGGGCAGACCAGCACGCGGAAGGGCTCGCCCGTGCTGCTGCGCATGGTGCCGAACACCTCGCACAGGAACGTGATGAAGCCCAGCCAGCGTTCCACGTCCTGCTGCTGCAGCTCCTCGCGCACCGTGAAGTCCTCCTGTGGAGACAAAGGGAGCGGTCAGCCCGGCGTCCACGGGGTGGTCCCCACGACTGAAGTGGTAGTGCCACACCCACCCCACCCCCAGCCAGTGAGCCCACCTTGGCCTTCAGATTGAGGCCACAGCTTCCTTTTTTCTGGGCATTGCCAGGTCTGCTGTGAGCCTCCTTCCTTCATCAGGACAAGTGAGGCAGGGAGGCAGACACCCTCACCTGCTCCCGCATTCCACTCCTCCTGGCTAAACGACCTTCCCCCGTGGCTGCTCTTGGGTACCGTCCTTCTCTTCAGGAGCCCCCAAATCATGCCCTCCACACGGGAGAGGCAGCCAGATCATGCTCAGAAACATAGTTAGCAATTGGTCTGAGCCCCAGCACTGGGCTGAAGGCACACGCTACTGCATCTGCCTGCAGGGGGCTTAGAGGCTCACTCACTCTTACGCATTAATAATAATTAATAATGATAATAATGGTGATGATGATGATGATGATGATAATGATGATGTTATCGCCCTCTGTGTTTTAAGAAGTCCCCTTCTGATTGCAGATTTCAGGCCATCACTTCTTACTGCCTCTCCCTGGGTATAACTGGGGTTTGCTGCTGCATGGCTTTCTGTTCTTTGTCTCTCATTGTGGGATCTGAATCAGGGTGGGTCTCCTTGAAGAGTCCATTGGACTTAGCCAAGGACAACATGCATGGATGCCCAGTGCCTAGATAACTCTGCGTCCCCTCCCAATCACAGAGCCTTCGCAACTGCCAGGGGGTAGTCAAGGCTCCAGATGGTGTGTTCATTCCATAGGGAACTGTGTTACAGACACAAAGGTGGTTCATATCCATTAGCAGCTCGGGGTAGGGGGTGGGGGTAAAGATGCACCATCTCCTCCTCAGTGGTTTACAACTTCCCAAACCCTTCTAGAGGGTCAACCAAGAGTTGTTTGTGACTCAACAGCAATGAATTTTCAGAGAGAGAATGAATGAACGAATGACCCTTGTCTTCTACTTCAGAACCCGTGAAAGGGCCCCGATACTGCTGGCCTTAACATAAAAAAATTCCGAGGCAATTCCACTCTCTTTAAACTTTTGTTGTCCCTCAAAAACCTAATGTGATCAGGAAAGGAGAGGTATTCTCGCTCATGTAAAAACAGAAGAACTGAGGGATGAAATGGCTGAAAGACTCCACTCAAGTCACACCACTCCTGGAATAAGAAGCCAGCCCGCCCCCTGCTCTCAGAGCTGGACGCTCCCACCAGCTGCACAGGGTGCACTTGAGGACCCCTGGGAGCCCAAGGCCTGGGATCCACGTGAAAAGCCTGTGTAGCCGGGCCTAGAACCCCGAGGCCTGGGCTCTGCGCAGAGAACCTGTGTAATCGGCAGAGTTAAGCTGGACTTGGTTACTCCTGAAAGTTCCCAGGTGAGTCCAACATGCGACGGTGACTGAAAATCACAGTTTATGTCTTTATAAAGAACTAACTTGGGAGTAAAGACGGTGCCCACCTGTTGATACCTGACTCTACTGTAAAATACCTGAGAAGGCACGCACGGAAGAACAAAGCCCCACAACACTGACAAGGAAATGAACATTCATCAGAGTCAGGAGGGAATACCGTTAACTTAGGTGCTGACACCAAGAAATCCTGTAGCTCAGGGCAACTTAACCCCTGATCCCGAAGACCAAAAGCTGGGGGTGAGAGACAGGCAGTCTGCAGCTCCAGCCTCGTGCTCTTTCTGCTCCCTCCCTGGGTTTGCAGGCAGCTCCCAGTGGAGACAGAAAGGTGGACCAGGAGGCAGGAGGAGTAGTCCGTGGGACAGTGTTTTCAGAGGTATGATACTAGTGACCAACACTCTCTAGGGAGAAGACTTGGCCTAATGGGTACCAGGGTTTGGAATGAAAAGAATTCACTGCATCTGATCAGAGAAGAAAATGTCATCTGTACCTATGCGACCTCAACCTGGATGTGCTTATGCACATAGAGGAAGGAGGAGAGAGAATTGTTGAGGAGGAAGAATGAAGGGACAAATGAATGCCTTTCACTTTCCTGGTTGCCTCCAAATGACCAAGGAGCACCAAAAATGTGGCCGCGCAAATCAGACATGCACTCAGGTGTAAACCCTGAGTCCTAGTGGCACAGTGATTAAGTGCTTGGCTGAAAACAGGTCAATGATGTCAACTCGTTACCTGCTCCATAGAAGAAAGAGGAAGTAACCTGCTTTCATAAAGTTCATAGTCTTGGGAACATTATGGGGCAGTTCTACTCTGTCGTACTGGGTCACGATGAGCTGGAATACACTCAACTGAAACTCAAAAAACACTCATTGCCACAAGTGGGAACCATCTCAGGAGTGACCCTCCAGCTAGTTTTGAGAGGCTGTTAAGTAGCACGGGAGGGGACTATGTAACGTTCTCCCTCAGAGCTGCTGGTGGATTCGAACCGCTGGAGACGTGTTGCCTGTGGTTTAGCAGTGCAACTCCCCATAGACCAGGCCACCGGAGCTCCTTAGGGATAATGATGCACTGATTTTGAAGATGAAATATGCAAAGAATGCGATAAGCTTCTTATTTTAAAGGTATTGATGAAATGTTGAAAATTTGGACACACCAGATAAAGGAACAAAAAGCATTAAATTTAAAATTAGATATGTAATCTATCAGATTTATAAATTTATGTCAGAGTATACTTACTGCATGGGACAGTGCTGAACTAAACATTCAACTCAAACATTCACCAATCACTAAGACAACAGAGGAAAAGACACAATACAGATAAAACTTCAAATTAATGAATTAGAAAACAGAAAAAGGAAATTATGAAATAAAATAAAGAAGTAAAATTATTCCAAAAGAAAACTATTACAAATCTTAAAGAGTTTACAAGAAAACCAGGATAGACTTAAAATCATAAAAGAAAATGAAGTTACAAAAGAGCTATCTCTTACAATGAGATCCAGAAAAGAAGTTTACAGGTTAACCTTTCTAATTCAAATAGATATGAAAGTCCTAAATGAAATACTAACAAATAGAGCCCTTCTAATCAAGTTTATTTTATCCGAGAGACACAAAAATGGTACCAAAAAGGATCCAAAACATAACTTGAAAGAAAAATAGGCTAACACAGAACAACACAAATATTTTAACCTATCCTAAAGCTAATTAATAGGCATGAGAAAAACTGGAAATATATTGCATCAATAGGCCTGATTTTTAAAAAAGCAGCAACATCCATGACTTTTGAAAGAAAGGAGATAAAATGATTTGATATGATTGTATCTAGGAAAAGCTCAAGAAGACTCTAATAAAGACCAGAACAAATAAAACTCGACTTCTTAGTTTATAGAAAGAAAATTAATATACCAAACCCAGAAGGTTTCTCTTGTGACAGGAACAGCCAGTTAGAAATTTTAATGCACAAAAGCTCATTGATTACAACAATGAAGACTTAAATGACAGTATTAAGAAATGTGCAAGATTTTTAAGAAGAAAATTACAACACTAAACTGAGTGAACAACAGAAGAAACACACAGTTAACTGCTAAATGAAAACCCAACAAAGATGCTTGTTCTCTTTGAAATTGGTCACAGATTGAACATCAATCTAAATCTTAATTTTTTGGGGAGAGTGGGACGGAAGGGGTTGGGGTCTCGAAAAAAGGATCCTATATGTAACTTGAAAGAACAACAAGAAAGTAGCAAAACACGAAACAACACAAACCTGGAAAGAATTAGATTACTTTTCACTTATCCTTAAAGCTTTAATGATGAAAAGGTGTGGAACTGAGTTAAGAAAGGACTGTTAGATAGTGTAGAAACAAATTTGGCATCATAAGATTTTCTCACATGATCCCAAGACACTCAGAAATCAGCGGGAAAGGAAGCATTATTCATTTGAGCAGCAGCTCAGGGACAGCTGTCCAAGTATTGGGGGGCAGGGATAATTTAGAGTCTCACTTTACACTGGGCCCTAAAATGAATTCCATATGGAATAAAGCGGTCAAGGGGGGGGGGGAGGACAAACCATAAAAACCAAGAAAATAAAATTTCGAGTATCAAATTTCTGGATCAAGAAGGGCTTTTTACATTAAAATAACAGAGGACGGCATCAAAATATCGTAAACACACTTAAAAGACAACGGATATGCTGGCAAAAATATGTGTCACAAATGTAACAAAGGGTAAAGGTTTTAAGGACATGAACAAATCATTCAAATTTGTAGTTAAGATATGAAATCACTTATGGACAAATGGGGAAAGGGTATTAAAAAGTAATTTATATGCTAAGATAGAAATAGCCAAAGTTGTTAGATGCTCTCGAATGAACGGCTCATCTGAACCCTGCCCAACTCCATATCATCCTCATAATCTAGTTCTTGAGACTAATATTACAGTCACAGTTGCCAATGAGAATATTTTAAAAAATGAAATAATCAGTAGCAATTAGGTAAAGCCTCAGTAGGAAACAAGTAAATGAAAATACTCCCCCTTCCTCCTTCCCAATAACTAAATTGTTGTTGTTGTTAGGAGCTGTCATCAAGTTGAGTACAACTCACCCTATGAACAGATCTGAACCCTGTCCGATCCTGTGCCATCTTCACACTTCCTGAGCCCACTGTGGCAGTCACCATGTCAACCCACCAGGTCGAGGGTCTTCCTCTTCTTCGTCCGCTCTCCACCTTTTCCAAGCATCATCCCCCTCTCCAAGGAACAGCCCCTCCTAGCAACATGCCTGAAGTATGTGAGGTGAAGTCTCATCATTCTTAGCTCCAAAGAGCATTCCGGCTGCATCCTCTCCAAGACATATCTGTTTGTTCTTTTGGCCGTTCAGCGCCCTCTCTAACACCAAAGCTCAAAGGCATCAATTCTTCTTTCATCCCTATTCACTGTCCAGCTCTCAGATGCATAGCAAATGATAGGAAAGATCATGGCCTGAATCAGATGCACCTCAGTCCTCAAACTGGTATCATTAACTTCTCAATAATTTAGAAAGGTCCCTAACAGCAGACTTTCCCAG